CATGCCGCACCCCGACCCCTTACCGTACCCTGCACCGCTCCTGCACCCTGACCCCTGCCCTGAGCCCCATGCCGCACCCCGACCCCTTACCGTACCCTGCACCGCTCCTGCACCCTGACCCCTGCCCTGAGCCCCCTGCTGCACCCTACACCCCAACCCACTACCCTGAGCCTCCTGCCGCACCCCACACTCCTCTTGCAACCCAACCCCCTGCCCTGAGCCCCTTGCCGCACCCTGCACCCTGACCCCTTGCTGTACTCCTCACCCTTCCTGCACCCCACACCCCAACTCCCTGCCCTGAGCCCCCACCACACCCCACACCCCTCCTGCACCCCCTGGGGGCAGGGAGGGGGCAGAGTTGGGGTGGAGATTTCGGGAAGGGGTTGGAATGAGGGCAGGGAAGGGGTGGGAAGAGGCGGGGCCTCATGGAAGGGGTGGAGTGGGGGCAAGGCCGAGGGCGGCGGGGGGAGAAGGTGTCAGTAATGCAGCCCTCGGGCCAATGTACTAGTCCTCATGTGGCCCTCATGGTCATTTGAGTTTGAGACCCCTGATCTAGCACCTGCTCACTGGGGCAGACTGCTGTCTGTCATGGCCACTCATCATTGGCAAGGGGTTAAGACCTGCTACCTTTGCCTATCCCCGGGCTGCCGCCTGCAGCCCCAGTACCTTTTCATAGGCCTTCATCAAGGCCTGCAGCCTGGGGGTTTAACAGGCTGGAGCACCCCAGTTCTCCTTGCCCTTCCCCAGCACTGCTCCACTTCAAGTACCTTGCTTCCCTTCCCACTCACTCCAGGGCTAGAGTGAGACTTCTCCAGCTTCTGGACCATAGCCCTCTTATCAGGGCCAGCTGGGCCCTAATTGAGCCTGCCACAGCTGTGTACCATCCAGAAACATATGTAAGGAAAAGGTTATTTTCATGTTTTGTCAGCAGAAGAGTTAAAACTGTCATATCTTTAGCTCGTACCCAACCCATCTCACTTTCTGTTAGCATTATAGCTAATAATTCTTGTTCAGAACACCACAAGGCTAACAGGTATGACCCTTCACAGCGCTTAGGAGCTTCTAATGGTAAGAATTCACTAAGGCCATCTGATGTAGCTAATTCCTACAGATAGTCTCACATACCAATGGTGTGAGAAACTGCTGTCTGTAGGAATTAGCTTCATCACATTGCAGTGTTACAGGTAGCACATCCCTATAGTTTGCAGTTTCATACACGTCTGTGTGTGAAAATGCTATCTGTAGGACCCTGCTACCTGCAGCAGCTACATGTCCTACTTTGCTAAAAGGGTATTTCAAGCAGTCTCACATGTAAAACCAACCTGCAGGGCCGGCTCCAGCTTTTTTGCCCCCCCAGGCAGCGAAGCGGAAAAAAAGAAGAAGGAAAAAAAATAAAGCTGATCGGCCGCACTTCGGCGGCAGCTCAATTGTGCCACTTCATTCTTCGGCGGCAATTCGGCAGCGGGTCCTCCACTCCCTCTCTTCCTCTTCCCGCCGCCAAATTGCCACCAAAGACCCAGACGTGCCGCCCCTTTCCATTGGCCGCCCCAAGCACCTGCTTCCTTCGCTGGTGCCTGAAGCCGGCCCTGCCAACTTTCTTTAACAGTGTAACAAGCCTAGTAAGGCTTTTGATACTGTCTCCCATGACCTTCTCATAAACTATGGAAAGGAAACCTAGATGGACATAACGATAAATAAGATGGACATAACAAGTGGGGTTCTCCAGGGATCAGTTCTGGAGATGTTTCTATTCAAAATCTTAATGATTGAGATAATAGCATAGAGAGTACACTTATAAAGTGTGTGAAAATTTAAGGTCCATAGAAAACATGACCTATGAGGGAAGACTGAAACATGATTACAGTTTTCAAGATGTACAAATAAGGTAGCATTTTTTTAAAAAGCTGTTTCTTACAATCTATACATATCGCTAACTGCTACAGATAGCACATTCCTACACCTAGCAATTTCACATACACTATAGTGCAAGACCCTGTTATCTGTAGGCATTTGCTACATCAGGTAGCAGTTTAATACAATAGCAATGTCTTACAATCTACGCGTATCGATAAGTGCTACCGGTAGCACATTACTACGCGGAGCGGTATCCTACACCCGGAGGAGTTCGCTCTCACACCGGAGAGGAGATTCCCTCCTTCCACGATAAGGCGGGGAGCGGGAGCCGCCTCACTCGCCAAGAGCCGCGTCTGCCTGCTCTGGAACGGGGACCGGACCCCGCGGGCGTGGGGGACGCCCACCAGAGGAGCGGTGGGGGTACCTGCAGCAGGGCGCTGGAGGAGGCCAGCCGGGTGGTCTCGCTCAGCACATCCTGGGAGCCCATGGCTCGCGCCCCCGACGCACCAGGGGGAGACGTGCTATCTCCGCACGCCGGCGGGGCTCAGCACCCGGACCCCCGGCTGCCACGCGTGGGAGCCGCTCTCAGCCTCCGCTCCGGCTCCATCTCGCTCCCAGACCGGCGTCGGTCTCGGACTGCAGAGAATCGGGAAGTCGGTGGCGGTGCCGCATTGTCGCGCATCGATCTCGTCAGCAGGGGCGGAGCGTGGGGCTCTGGCTGCCGGGCCACTTCCTCAGGCCGCCGGAGCGCAGCGCCTCCCCCACCCCGAGGCGAGGCGCTGAGCCACTTCCCCGTTCCAGCCCAAACCCTGACAAGGAGACATACCCCCTCCGCACCCACACCCACACCCTTACAGGGGACAGGCAGACAAGCTCCCGCCCGAGAAGGGAAAATGGGAGCCACACAACTGCCCCCCTGCATTAGGCGGGAGAAGGGGTCAACCCTTACCCATGACCCTTGTAGGGAACAAGTAAAAATACCTCCCAACACTCAAAGAGAGAAGCTAACTCACACCGAGCTCTTGCCCGAGCTCTTAGGGGGAAACGAAAACATTCATATACGTCCCCCAACCCCTATGGAGTCAAGGCAAACACCACGGGCTGTAGTGCTG